ATGAATTCCTCCCCTGATACAGTAACTGAGCAGGCTGGGCTCAGGAGGTTATAAATCAGACCTGAAGGCTTTCCAGCTCTTCCTGCCTTGCTGACTGCTATTGTTTTTGGTTGATGTTTTGGGTTTTACTTCATACAATACACCCTCCCCCTGTTCACTCACACAGACTTGCAAATTACTGATTTGCGTGATACTATGGTAAGCTGTATTTGTCTTTTGCATTTACTTAATTAAATATGAGTTAGACTATTGCAGACTGTGTGGTCTCCCACTTTTGGTAGCAGGTTGTGGCACTGCTGATTTGATTTCAATTAAAAATGGGGCTCTGTTAGATCTGTGCTCTGTTGAGGCTTGCACCTTGGACAGCTGTTGTTTATGTTTTAGGCGATATGGTTTCATATTCAACAATTTTCTGCTGTGTATAGCATGCACAGAACTTAAGGTTTTTGGTATCAGCCTTAATCAGCAGGAGGCGATGGATGTTCAGGTAAGGTATTGAGTCACCCTAGATGAAGATGGACAAGTGAATATCTTGACCCTGTTACTTGTGTTTGTTGCTAAGAGTGGCTTAAAAAGATGAGATTTATCAAGGAAGCAACACTGACACTGCAGATGGTGTAATGTTAGGTTAATGTACATATGAAAAGTCTGTGCCTGATTGTATCAATTCTGTAACTCGAAGGGACAGTTTTTCATGTTATATGTTGCTACAGACTGCTGAGAGGTGTGACACAATACAGATCCAAAATAGTTATGCAATGCTGCTGCTGCTCTATTGTGTTACTTTTTTTGTGATTCTTACTGTTTTTTTCTCATTGCCATATGATTTTTTATTTTTATTTTCCTATTTACTGTTTTTTATACTGTTTTTTCTCTATCCACTTTGCTGCTGTAACATTGGAATTTCCCCATTGTGGGAGAAATAAAGGAATATCTTATCTTACTTCTGTCCTTCACATTCTCCGCCAGCAGGTGGAGCTAGAGTCCACTGTCTGGATCGGATGATGTGGACGCAGACTTCTTCTCACTGTCAGCTACAGACTGTCTTTAACAGGTGAGGTAACGCATGGCAGTGTTGCCGTCACTACAGTCAGTCTGAAGATAAATGATATTGTAATGTTTGACCAGCAATATTTCCACATGACTTTCAGGCCTATGAGTTACCCCGTTTAACTGCTGTTTAATGACTCAGTAAAAACTATGAGGCGCTCTTGCTCTCTCGCACGCGCCCACACCGACCACTGGGACTACAGAGCAATGAATGAACACATCTGGGCAGGGCCAAGTGCAACACCTCCTCTCCTCCCCTAGCTGTGTGTCCCAAAGCCAACCCAAACACACCCTCACCACAGCCTGTCTGTACTTATTAACACATCACGTCTTTACCATGTGGTCCATAAGGAGCAGTGATATGTTTATCTTTTCTCTGGTTTACAGGAAATTGTTGCCCAAGCAACTTAGAGTGGAACTATTACCCTCATTTCTGTTTCCTTATTCTCCACGAGAGAAACTACAGAGTGGGGTGTCTGTGTTTATTAGATCAGCCTTGACAGATGCAGCGTGAGTTCCTTCTTTGCATCTTCTAATTAGCAGTTTTCTAACCTGTCACCCTGGACCTGACAAGAGCCCAGTAAGAGCTTCCTTGGTAATGCTTAAGATCAATAAAATAACGTTAATATGTAGTCTACCTGTAGTAGGCCCATCGGTTTATTCAAATATATCACCAAAGGAAGGATAGAGGAAACTGAGCCAAGCAGCAGTGGCTATATCATACTGTAGCTTACTGGCTCATACAACAGTGTGAGTAGTGGCAGTAAGCCACAGTATAGGCTGCGGCTGTATGATACTTGATACACCGAGCTGGGAACCTTTTGTCCAAAAGCAAGTCATGAAATGAGCAGACTGTTAAATCCTCAAACAGTGCATCTAAAATCTTTGGAGCTGAGAATTCTGCACTTGTGACAAATAATTCAGTGTAACAACAAGTGTAAGATTTCTATTCAGCTCGAGACATGCACAGTCATAGAAGCACATACACACAGTTGTACAGACATCTTCACAAGACAGGCTTTCATTATGCCATTTCTAGTAGGACAACTTTACAACTTACTACAGATTTATGCTTTGAAACATAGTTTTTAGTTTTGAAAAGGTTCGATTTAGGCTCCCTCATGTTGTTCCGGGTGACACTGAGAGTGACATGTCACCGGTGAAAATAACTTGGGCTGGGCCAATATAAATG